TTTTTTTTTTTTTTTTTTTTCGAAAAATTCAAAGTATTACAAAATTTCAAAATGTTACAATTTCTGCAACTTCAGACATCTATTACTGTAGATTCTTACACGGCGAGTCTCTTTGCGATTTTTTTTTTTTTTTTTTTTTCGAAAAATTCAAAGTATTACAAAATTTCAAAATGTTACAATTTCTGCAACTTCAGACATCTATTACTGTAGACACGTAAAATTCTTACACGCGAATGTAAAAATAGATTATTTCTCATATTATCGAAATTTTAATTCTTCAAAATTATGTCGGTTTCAATCCTTGTTTATTTACACCATTGTTTACATCGCGCGCGCGCGCATGTGTGTGTTCCATTCGTGTTTTGATTTGCACGTGGAGAGAACGCGTTTCGAAAAGTCCGAAAACGATTCCGAGAAAGGGGAAACGGGGGAGAGTCGAAAACATGTTATCGGCATATGATTGATCCAGAGGACTCGAATGCGATTTAATTGTAAATAATAATGTAAATGTGGTCTCGCGCGAGAGCAGGTTAAATTTCTGACGTTGCGCACGGTGAATCGACTCAAGGACGCCGCGAAAACGTTCGCGCGTGTACAAATGCCGTCAAATGTCAGAAGCACTTTTACCCTACGAAACGTGACCGTTTTTCACGCGTGACTTATCTCCTTTCGGTCGATCGAGTGACGAAATTTTGCGGATCTCGCCAGGCGATTGACATATTGGTAACATTGCTGACAATTTGTAAACATATTTGGCTATTTCAAGAAATAGTCTTTGTTAAATCATTTCTCTCTCTCTCTCTCTCTCTTTCTCTGTGTTTCCTGGTATCATTTTAATATTTATTAATATAATTCGTTATTATGTGTAGTTTATCGCATATATTTCTTCGTGAGTGTTGAAAATATTAATGTCGCCAGCCGTGCAGATAACTATTCGTATCATACGGACGCCCACTTTTCGTCCTGTGCGCGACTCACGCGATCATATCCTTAAATGTAAAGTTGTTCGAAAAAAACGTAATATATATATACTACACATGGAATATATTTTACGATTATTTGTTACGTGATTGATTTGTGATCAACTGTTTGAGAGCTGTATTCAAAAGAAATATTATATAATATATAATTAAATTAAATAACTAAATCTAAAGACGTAATACAGCGATTTAAAGAGAGAAAAAGAATAAATTTATTCATATATATTTATTAACTGTAAATATAATATCAAATATACTTATACAGGTATTAAATATACAAAAATGGGGATTCTTGTGGATTTCTTTTCGTAAACCATTATTATCTGCGAAGCGATGAAAAAAAAAAGCGAGATTTTAATAATCTGACGTCATAAATTTTTCTTTTTATACAAATAAATACATTGTAGGACGATAACGGAGTTTTTAAAAGTACGATCCGTGTGTGTCTCGCGCTTTAATTACCCGCTAATCATCGTCGCGCGAGTCGTCAAAATGATTGATTAATCGAAACGGCTTTCAATTAGAACGGGGATTAAACCGTCACCCAGTGTGTGTAGGAATGAGCAGCGCTCGTCGCATATAACTTGACGATTGCGTGCGTGTGCGTGCGTGCAGCTGGTTGCAGATCCGATGTTGCCGGCCGACGCGGGCTGACAAAAGCGACCGGTTTA